ATAATAACATAAGCAACAGTCTTCACAAAAATCAGAGTGGGAAACAAAGGGGGAAATCGCCTTCTCAACTGAAAATTAGTGAAATTTCCGTGGGAAATCTTCTTAATAATTACGATTCAGACGCACAGCGCTAAGAAACCCTAACTTTTCAAATTTATTGTGCATTACGCACTGCCGAATTAAAAAAAAAATCCAGAAATTAATTGAAACTTGTAGGTGCTTACCTGCAGCTTATCGAGATACTGAGGCTGATTGAGTCCCCGCTGAATAGTTCCGGTGAGCTCAAGTAGCCGATCGGCAAGCGTCGATTTGCCATGGTCAATGTGCGCAATAATCGAAAAATTACGAATATTTTCAGGCGGGAACTGCGTCAAATCGATGCCGTTCTTCTTAGCCAGCGCGTCCTTCTCAATCTCCGCAATAATTTGGTGGTACGGCCGCGACGAGTAGCCGCGGCTTTGCCGGCAAACAAACGGGGACCGGCGCCGCCGTGAAAACCCCAAACTGGCAGTGGATGTGGCAGTTCTGAACTTGAAGCTCTTAAGTAGTGGGTAAATGACAGTGAAGTGTGGAACGAAGAGACGGTAGTTAAACGCCGTTAGTGAATTCATGGCGTTTGGGCACGATATTTGCATGGTTTTTCGCCAAAAAAAAAAAAAAGAAGGTGAATAAACGCTAATAATAGGGAAGCGCCATGAATTCGATTGATAACTTGGGGATGAAGGTACTTGGGCCTCACGACCCAAATTTGATCTCGGGCCTTGTTTGCTTACCAATATTGAATTATGTCAGATTAAATTAGATTGAATTAATTTTCTACTGGTTAATTAATTATACTTCGTTTGCTTACCTAGATCTGATTAGATCGAATTAGATTAAATTAGATTGAATAAATTCTCTACTGATCAACTACTTAATTAGTTAATAATATGTTTGTTTCTTTAGATTACATGTTGTATTAAATTTGTTAGATTTTGTTATTATGTATGAATCAAGTTATTGTTTTAAGGATAAAATTGTACTTTTTATTTTTGTCATCCATTACAAAATTAAACACAGGGAGGAGGGGTGTTACTAATTTCATGACGTAGAACTTTAGTAGCGGAGTTGAGTAATGTTGAATCCTACCAGACAAACATATTACTACTAACTCCTACTATTTAGTCAAACTAACTTAATAGTAGCAAGCAAATGAGGCCTTAATCTGCAAAATTAAACATAATAATAGTTAAATAATTTTTTGAGTTTAGAGAAATTAATTATATATTCGATCTCTCATTTATCTTAAATCTTAAAATATCTTATAAACATAATTTTTTTAATGAATTGTATTATATCATTAGTCATTACATACATACATATAGTGATTTTAAATGTAGGAAGAATAAAATAGGAGAAAGAGAGAAATAATAATACGTAATAGAATAGAAACTCCCCATTATGTAATGGTGGAAGAATAGAATATGAGAAATAATGCAAGGTAATAGAGTTTCATTAGGTAACTAAATCCTAACTAATCTAGGTAACCGAATCATAATAGAATCCCAATATCCTATAATATCTAATAATATAAATACTCTAACATTAACATTTTGCAAAAACATAATAATATGGGTCGGCCGGGCCGGGTTGGATTTGATAATCCAGAAATATTGTCACTCCTACGAAGCAGTCAGTCACCACTTTGGATTATGTGATCATTTATAATTATATAAAGGTAAATTACAAACACCCCCCTGAGGTATCGTTGAATTACAAAAACACCCCTCTTGTTTGGATAATTACATCCACCCCCTCAACTCCTCAAATGTAGTGAAATCTTCGAGATTATATGGAATATTATCACTTTTGAACCCGTTTTATCCCATTCAAACTCTACATTATGAAGAAAGATGATCATAATATGTGATTTTTAGCTTGTATATATCTGTTTGTGGTGCATCGGAAACTGTATTTTTTACACAAAACGAGTACAAACTAGAACACATTTCACCCTAGATGACTATGTTGAATTTGGCACCATAAAGGTGGAGGTCTAAGAAAAAAATCATAATTTAGGAGGGTAGATGTAATTATCCAAACAAGAGGGGGGCTTTTGTAATTTGACCATACCTCAGGGGTGTTTGTAATTTACCCTTATATAAATTGTATATATGTACCCATAATGAGTCCAGATATTCCACGTCAGATAAATGAGGTGTGATCAGACAAATCCGTCCATATAAAAGCCACCCACAGATTCTCCGCTTACATTTCACGCCCAACTCAAAATCGCTCTCCTCTGTTTCCCATTTTCTCAATTTTTATCTATATTTTAATAATTATATTAAATAAACCAGAGAGAAGAGCAGCTCTCGCCGTTCTCGTTCTCAGGTAGATAAATATCTCTTTTAATTTTAAATTTTTTTTTTTATGATTAAATTGCGTGCAATTGATATGAACCCTAGTTTTTTGTTACGTTGACTTATTTGTATCTGTCTGATTGTGCGAAGAATTCGTGGATCTAGGATTTTTTTTTGGTTGTTTAGATGATTAATTTGTGTGCCCTAGGTAGGGTTTTCGTACGTAATTATGTTTGGGCTATGTTTTCTTGTTGTGAATTTGTTTGTTTTTTTTTTCGCCGTAATTTTTGCTGGAATTAATTAGTGCAAATTGAAATTAGAAATGCCCGTAATCAAATTTGAATTGTTGATTTGTATGAGCTCATGTGATTAATAAGGTTAAAAAACATGAAATATTTTTTTTTTTTTTTTTTTTTTTTTTTTTGCGATTGTAGGTCTTGAAGATGTCGACACCAGCTAGGAAAAGATTGATGAGGGATTTCAAGCGGTTGCAGCAGGACCCGCCAGCTGGCATCAGCGGTGCGCCGTACGATAACAACATTATGCTGTGGAATGCGGTTATATTCGGGTATGGTGTATGCCCTGATTATTTGGGTATTGTCCTTTGTGAAGAAATTGAATACTAATATTTTATTTATTTATTTAATTGCAGTCCAGATGATACCCCTTGGGATGGAGGTGAGAATATTTTACTCGAGTTTGATTTTATATTGACTGATTGCGGATGTTCAGCTAGGAATCTAGAATCAGTAGTTTACGACTAATTCATCTTTCGGAATAAAATGGAAAATGAATAATTTATAATTTATAACAAAATATCTTAAATGAGTTTACTTTTAACAGAGATTCTGAACTTGATTGACGATTTGATGATAGATACAATAGATGTATGTACTCACAGATGTATTTAATTGCACACATATTTTCTTACTTTTTTTGTATTAAATCACTGATGTTAAAACTGTTTGGTTCTAGGAACGTTTAAGTTGACACTTCAATTCACAGAGGATTACCCAAACAAGCCCCCGATTGTGCGGTTCATATCTAGGATGTTCCATCCCAACAGTAAGTTGTTTCAGATGTTTTATTTTTCGATTTATTATTATGGTACAGATTTTATAATTAACCTCTTTAGCCTGACTATTTTTTAATATGGATTGTTCATGAAATTATGACTAGTAGTGGAGGCTATAAACTTTTGAGAACAAATAGCAAGTGCTATAATCTAAATCCCGGGATTTGTAGAATAAAGACTAAGCTAATGGCAGGCAATACATCTCTAGATTTTTGGAAAATGAGAACAAAACAAGGAATTAGTTGTTTATGCTTGTATTTAGATTTGCTGTTTTCTGCAATGCCGTTGGAGTTTGTGTTGTTGTCACCACTAGTTTCGATGTCACATAATATGATATCAATATTATTAGTAGCACATAGTTAGGTTTCCTATCTATATTGTGCTTTACTTCTCGCCAATGAGTCCACATTTAAATTTTCTTTCGTGACAAGAAAAATCAGTTTAAACTTTAAACTTGATAATTTTCATGACTTAGTCGTCACCCCCGCCAACACACACACACACACACAAAAAGTTGATTTACACATGAAAGGCTGTATATCCACGTTTCAGAGTAATATGTATTCAAGGGGTCAAAGGCTGTTTAAGTACGTGTCAGTGTAATACGTAGTTTCTGTTCAGAGTCGCACTTACGTAGTCTGATTTACTTCTCTTTAATCAGTTTATGCAGATGGAAGTATTTGCTTGGATATATTGCAAAATCAGTGGAGTCCGATATATGATGTAGCTGCTATACTTACATCTATTCAGGTAATGAACCGACTATTTCTTTTAAAAATCAATTGTTCATCAATACTCAGTCTTGTGTATATATATATATATTCAAGGTTAAATACTGTTCTTAGGTTTAGAAAGGGATCTATAATAATATAATATTTGCACTGGTAATGCTGAAACTGCCCCAATTGAGCAGATTGAGTAATCTTCATACCTAACCGGAACATGGCCTTATTTCCCGTTTGCACTTTCCGAGTTTGTTGGATGATGTTTAATATCCTAGAATTGTGTAGATTGGCTAAACCTTTTTATTAGTCGTTTAAATTATTTTATCGATGGTTCAAAGTTAAATTTACTCTGTTGCTATTCACTTATTCTTTTTAAATTTATTAGTAGTCTAAATTTTTTTAGAAATTGTTGACAGAATCATTGATATATATACACTAGTTTCCTTGATAATCTTTATGATTCACTAATCACTTTAATTTAATTTATTCAAAAAATTACAGTCTCTGCTCTGCGATCCAAACCCAAATTCGCCCGCAAACTCTGAAGCTGCACGTTTGTTCAGCGAGAACAAACGCGAATACAACAGGAAGGTACGCGAAATTGTCGAGCAGAGCTGGACGGCAGATTAATATTCCACCAATCGAAAAGCTGCACAAGAGGGGATCGCAAATTGACGAGCTTAATTTGCAAAGATCCCCTCTCCCCTAATGTTTGTATTATTATGATTGCTACAATTACGTTTACTGTGTCTCGTAGTTCGGAAAGAAAAACGCTGTTATCAATGTCTTAAAATGTTTATTTTCAGGTAATACGCAGAGTGTCTTTATCTTGATATATAGTAATTCTGAATGATCCTGCAGCCTATGTATATAGTCAATATTCTGTACCGAATTGCCTAGTATATTTTTATCGACTTTATTAATTTACGTCGTTCTTGTGAGATTGGTTTCTAACTCCTGATAACTGGTTTATACTTTATATTACAATTGTATTCTGTAGGGATAATATTTTTACTAGGAGTAGATAATTAGACTGAATTGAGCCGATTAAGCAAATTTTCGCCTTTACGTTATACATTTCGGTTTCTTATTGTACATGTGAAAGTTGTGTTTATGCATCTTAGTTTGTAACACTGTGTTTTGATGTCATGGCTTATATGGTTGAATAGAGTTATCATTTTATTGGCATAATATGGTGAAGGTAAAAATGATTATTGTTATCGCACAGCAGAAGTCACTAATCACCCCCACTAATTAAGTATTTATTTGGAACAATTGTGGGTTATGGATGGATTATTCTTTAATCGTGTAATGTCGTGTTGACCAAGTCAAATTCTTGATCGGTTTTTGGGTTGTGCTCTAAGCTTAAACATGATCTCCGAAAGAGAGAAAAAAAATTCGGACTTATTCCAGAGTTAGCACTCCGATGGTCAAACTCTTGAGTTGTGGGTTTCTTATATTGTATGACTCATAATGTCTAGTATTTATAGGAGAATGTTCGGGCGTCAATTTTTTCCCCTATCCAGTTAAACCTGTCCCATTATTTAAGAGCAAAAATATCTCCGAATATGAAATTACATTTCAATTGTATTTACTATGTCATTTCAGGTGATCGAATAGTAGAATAGCTACACATGTCGAAAGCAACAAATATTCTCTGAATCTGTCTACTAATGGGATGTGCATTGAATGTTGTTGCATGGTTCAGGAGAGCAAGTGTCTCGCTTAATAGTAGCCAACCATCTTCTCGCCGAGGAGGCCATCCCTTGTTTGACTTGTTCGCATTACTCGCGGGTGCCTCGTTTTGAAGACTCTCGTTGGCGACCGCTTTATGCGAGCTCGTCTCCTTTTGTGTGCTTTTTATTGAACCAGATGTGCTTAATGGGCAATCGGAATTGAATTGATCCGAATCAACTAGTCCCCCACTCGCAGTTTGCTTGGAAGGCGGGCGAAAGCAGCTTCTGCGACTATAATGATTACTTATTTAATAATTATTAGCATAATTGATAGACACATAATTAATGTATATGTTGATGATTTAGAAACAAATGATAGAATGTCGTTTGAAATTGACAATTCAACTTCATACGGCGGTGGTCCTAAACTCCTAACAACTCGTTTTTTTAATTCAACGACATTGATTATGTATGGTGCTTTTTCAAGTTTTGTGATTAAGACAATTAGATTAAGCCAATTAAGCATTGTCACTTTCTCTCTCTTCTCCTTGTGCATATTTCTCCATGTACAACTCTACTCTACCTAATCTTTTTTTTAATTAGTTTGCAAAATAATTTTTATTTTAACAACTTATTTGGTTGTCAAGATAAAATTGTCCAATATAAAATTAAATAAT